TTATATTAATTAATTTTTTCTTAATACTGTAAGAAACTTAAATAATAGGTCACGAAATGTAAAGAATTCATTATTAACAATTAATAAAGAAGTCAATAAACAAATGAACACAATTTAAACGTTCAAAGAAGCTTAAAACTATTAAAAACAGTATTTTAATAACTTTATTCAAAATTTAGTTGTACTTATGCAACCCTTTGAACTCGCTTGTGATGTTTTTGAGAGTTGCATAAACTCACGTCCATTTCGTGAATTAAATAATTCAAATTGTATTGGCGCCATTCAAATAAATACTTCAAATGGCAAGAAAATATTTATTTTATTACAAATTTTGTTTGTGAAGTAACCTACAGTCAATGAAACATTAGTAACTGCATGTGTAGTGTACTCTCAAATTAACATGATCTTAGTAAAAATTAAAATTATCGAGTTTAAACGAAAGATATCGTTTCCAGAAGTTTACACGTTGAAAAGTAAAAAATTGGTTTTGTAATACATATAATACAAATATGAATAAGCTAATAGTATTTATATTAATGTATTTCTTTTTATAACTTTTAATCTCGTAAAAATTGTTAACTTCAGCATCATTTTGATAAATCGGGAAATAGGTCAACTTTGCGTGTTCATCTGCGTCTCTTATTAACACATAACTAACTTAGCAATGTATGGAATCTCACTGTTTTAAATCGCTCGCAACAAGTTTATTTTTAGGAAGAAACCGTGACGCATTATGTGCGCGATCGCCGCAATTTCCTTTTCGTAAGGCAAAGTTTAAGCATGATACTTACCTGCTAATTTCCTTTTACCTTTTCCTTTTTTCCTTCGATAATTTTCGAAAATATGGCTGAAAGTGAAAAAACTTGCGCGGAATGTAACGAACCCGCTGAATTAATGTGTTCTGCCTGTAAATTAGTGTCATATTGCAGTAAAGAACATCAAAAAGAACATTGGAAAACTCATAAATCACTTTGTAAACCTTTTGAGGTAAGACCAAAATTATTTTATTTTCACTAAAATAATGTAATTGTAAATTTAATTTTACCTACCCCTCGTTTGATATTTTACGGAAAAGTTCTTGAAAAAGTACCTTTTATTTACAATTGTAGCAGAATGTTCAAAACTAAGTATATTGTGTCGTTTATTATAGCAATACTATAAAAAGTTCGATCTAAATTATGAACAAATCTAAACCTCATTTTAAAAGGAATTAATATAGAACTTGTGCAAGTTATTCACCTTTTCTTGTAAGACTGTAATCTAAAAATAAGCCAATCTTTGAAATTGTAACATAATAAGCACATTATTTGATTCAAAATATTATAATTTTTAGTTTTATACAAATATTAAATGTTTCTATCGATTAATAAAATAATATATTAAAGTAAATATAAACAATGATAGATCCAAACGACCTCAGACAAAGGGAAATGCTTAGTGGCCACAAGAGACTTGTCTCCAAACGATCAAATTATTTGCGATTATCCGATAGTTTTCGGACCACGTCCCCATGTGGTGGAAGAAGGTCCCGTTCCATGTCCCGGATGCTGCAGGTTTTTCCAAAACGGACCATTTAATAAATTTGTCATTTTATTTAATTTGGCCGTAGATTAATAATTGCTGAATCGGCACCAAGATGTGAAGGTTGCGACTGGCCAGTGTGTAACCCAAATTGTCCAGGATTAAAGGACGTAAACAAACACGCTCACGAATGTTACATTTTAGGTTTAAGGCCGACAAAAGCACAAAAGAATTTGCACAACTTTTATCGGTAAAGGAGTTACAGGTACTTACCAGATTATTTGAAAGAATTATGTGATCAAATTGCTTGCAGGCAAGATGCTTTGCTGACTCTTCGAATTTTACTCTTTCAAAAAAGGAACCAAAAGAAATGGCAACAGATATTGGAAATGGAATCCCACATGGATAAGAGAGGAGAGGGTACCGATACGTACAAGTAGGTCTTAGGGTAAATTACAAAAATAATCGTTAAATCAAATCCTTTTGCTTCATAATCAGACATGTCCAAGAAAGGATAGTAAAATATATACAAGAAAACTTCGTCACACCGTTGAGAGATATCGGAAAACAAACGGGACAAGAACTTTTACTGGACGATTCGGACGAGACAATTCAAAAGATTTGTGGAATAATAGACGTAAATTCGATGGAAATAAATCAAGATGCGGAACTTTCAGCTCTGTATCCCACCGCGTATTTAATGGAGCACAGTTGCATCTGTAACACTTACCACGTCTTCGACGACGAAGACCAGAACTACAAGATAACAGTTAGGGCAGCTTTACCGATCAAGAAGGGGGACCACATAACGACCATGTACACTCATGCCCTTTGGGGAACCCAAGCAAGGAGGGAACATCTCATGGAAACGAAATATTTTGAGTGCTCCTGTCCCAGATGCAGCGATCCAACAGAATTGGGAACGTACCTTAGTGCCTTAAGATGCTTAGGTGAACTTTCATTAACTGTCACTAATCTAACAAAGTTCTTAGCCAGTAATTTATCGAAACAACCAGATATGAGTTGCGATTTCAAATATCTGGTGATATTTGATGAATTCCTGATGATGAGGAATTCAACGTGTTCTATTAACGATTTCGCTTTTTGAAAGATATCCCATTTGCAGGAACAGAAAATGAACCCTGTGGAGGAACACAACTTCCAATTGACCCCCTCGACTATAAAACGGAATGGGCTTGTGATAAATGTAAAGTGAAAGTTAATAATGCCGAGGTGGCAATGTTGGTCAACCAAATTGGAGAAGAAGTCGACCAGATTCAGTTGAGCAAACCGACGGTCAAAGAATTGAACGAAATGCTTAAAAAAGTTTTAACATTCTTACATCCCCATCATTATCACGTTTATTCTTTGAAACACTCTTTGGTGCAGTTGTACGGGTATCAGCAGGGATACATGCCGAACCAAATAAGTGACGAACTTCTCCTCGAAAAGGCCGAAATGTGCCGGGACTTGTTGGAGACAACCAGGAAGATCGATCCAGGAAATTCTAGGTAACTTGTACATAATTATTCCCAATAAAGTTTTATCTATTTACAATTTAACATTTCATTTTCTTTTAGACTTTGCTTGTATACAGCAGTTCTGCTCCACGAGTTGCATTTGGCGAATGTTTATTATATAAAGCGGAAGTGGCATACAGAAGACAAAGAAGTTTTGGCCAGGTTGTTTCGCGAGGCGAAAAGATCGCTCGAGGACGCGAAAAAAGTTCTGGAACACGAAACGACTTGCGCTGCCGGGGAAAAACTTCGGCACTTGGTGGAAAGTTCGGAGAAAGACGCCAACAAATGGATCAATAATCATTCAGAAGAAGTCAACGAATTATTGGAACAAATAAAAGAATCATTGAACGTTTAAAAACACAATTTAATTATGTATGTATTATTAATTGCTTACTACATTTATAACTATGAATAAAGGCGTACGTTTAGAATTATTGGTTTGTACAGAGCGTTTTGAAAATGATGTTCAATTGATAAATAAATGATTTTCATTTCCAACTACATAGGTACATACCTAGCTGGAACGGTCTAGTATTTGAACTGAAGACCCTATGTTGATGATGAAAGAACAATTGGACAACAAAATTGATAAATACAATCCACCAACAACTACGCAGCGACACACGTTATTGTACAATATACTCGAATATTTGGATAAATTCTGCGACAAATTGGTGAAGACTTCCCCAGCCCGTAGGTGAACTAATGATCTCCTGATTAAGGTCTAAAGGCCGTTGTCGGTTGGAGTTGCTTCCAAACGTTTCACTAGCATGAGTGGCGGGCTTCTTCAGAGATCGTTCCATCTCCGATGCTGGATGTGAACTCTAATCTACGACGGCCTTTAGACCCGAATTAGGACAGCATTAGTTTAGTTCTACATTTTGGATTATCGTTATGTGTAAACCAAACACAAAAAAGAGAGAGAGATCTGAGATCTGGTCACATATTTATGTTTGCATCTTCCTTCTAGTGAGACCCACCCAAAGTTGAACGTTATCAATGATACACGTAAGTCCATCTGCTGATGGTGTAACCATTGCTGGGTGGTTTATCTACTATGCCTTGTAGTCCAAAACGCTATGTATTGATCATCGATCGATAAAACAAATTTGTACACTGGTAGATATGTAGATATTATATTTTTTCAATAGTATGTTTTTTTATTGTTGAAAATTTCATGGGCATTTGCCGGCAAGTGAGTTCTGTGGTCTTTGGCCCTAATTCTCGAANTATTATTATTAAAAAATAGGAAAGTATAGGAGTATTAGCACCAAGGAGACAGCTTTATATTCAATGGAATCAGCATTGATAGAAAAATATGGAATGAAAAATAAATAGTAATAAATACATGTATTAGTATGCAGCGTACGTGAAAGAAGGGTAAAAGTTTATATACAAATTAGAGACGAAAAAGTAGAAGAAGTCACTGATTTTCGGTATCTAGAAAGTCAAAAAACAAGAAATAAGAAAAAAAACTACAAAAAATTTAAAATAATTCATCAATAATCAATAACGATGTCAACCAAAAAATAAATAAACACAACAAAAACGTTCAAAAAAGCTTAAAACAATTAAAAAGTATTTTTGTAATTTTGTACAAAATTTAGTTGTGTTTATGCAACCCTTTGAACTCATGTGTGATGTTTTCTGGAGTTGCATAAACTCACGTCCATTTAGTGAACTAAATAATTCAAATTGTATTGGCGCCATTCAAATAAATACTTCGAATGGCAAAACAATAATTATTTTCTTGCAGATTTTATTTGTTAATTATACTATTATACTGAATTCAGTAAAAAATAAAACTACTGAAACTTGTACAAAAGAAGTCGTTATCAAAAATTTACATAAATAAAAATATTGGTAAACAGGTTGAGATATGGTCTTATAGAAGGATGATGAAAATACTGAGTAGAGAGGATTAAAAGGCGAGATTTATTGAAAACAGAAGGAACTATGAAAATGGTAAGATGATGCTAGGACTCCTTCTGAAACATGAACGGCTACTTAGAGAAGCATTAGAAGCAAAAAAAATAAGCAAAAAGGGCTAGCGCATAACCTAGACTAGGTTACTTTTTGCAGATAGTTGGGCATTAATAAGTCTTTGTACTGACGACTTTGTGACAATGATTAGTTAATGCAGGTATACCTTTGTGTAAAAGAGCTGCACATACTGCGCTGTCGACACCGCCACTGACCAGTACGAGGACTTTGCTCGACCCGACAGCTTCCTTGATATACCGAAGACAATCGTGTTCGCGACCGTTCATCGTGAAGTTTCCAGTTAGACTGACCACGTCGAAAAGGAAGTTCTTTAACATTGTCTTTCCATTGGCGGTAAGGTCGACTTCCGGATGGAACTGCAGTCCATACAGCCGGAGCTTCTCGTTGTAAATTCCAACACAGAATGATCCGTTTTGCGCGATCGACTTGAAATTGTCCGCTATTTTATCTATCGTGTCGCCGTGAGTCAAGAGGACTGTTTGTGTCTTGTTCATTCCTCTGAAATTCATTGATTAATTAATAATCTCTCGTTTTGACATACGATTTACCAACTTACTTAAACAATAGGCATTTATTATCTACTTCTATATTAACTTGACCATCTTCTCTGTTATCCTTTCGTACTACAGTGCCTCCAAATTCTTTGTTCATCATTTGCATTCCATAACAAATACCTAATAATGAACAAAGTCGTTTTTACCAATCTGTGTAATTGTCATAAAAAATAAAAATATTGACCTAAGACTGGCAAACCTATCCTAAATATGTCAGCATCGTATCGCGGTGCGTCCTCAGCATAGACCGAGTTTGGACCTCCGGATATTATGATCGCTCTGTATCCGGCTTCTTTGATGTTGAATGCTGGCGTGTCCAGGGGTAGGATGTCGCTTTCAACGGACAATTCTCGAACATTTCGATCAATCACCTTGCCATATTGTGCACCAGCGTCTAAGATTGCGACCTTTTCCGAATTCGTAGCACCATTCGTGTTCATGTACTGGTTTTCAGGACTTAGGTTGGGCATAGTGCTATTCCAGCAACACTGAAAAAAAAACCAAAACACAAATCAATTCTCGCTTAATAATCAGAAATAAATGTAGTTATGAAGATGTTATGGCATTTCACTTACTAAAAATACCATCATGTTTAAGCACATGTGCAAAACAGAGAGTCGTAGAAGAATGCAAAACACTTAATAGAATTAATGGCCACTAATGCATACCGTTGACCAGCAAATATCTACATACATGTATACGTTAACATTAACTTAGATAATTTAATTAAAAGGCAACTTCTCTACACTAGGTACTTAATAGTACGTGTCTGCGTACCTACACAGGGTGTATTGCACTAGATTAATACCATTTTGCATTCCGAATAAATATAGTTAATAAAGCCAGTAAAACGTTTTTCATTTTTAAGTAGATATACATTTTGTTAAAAAAATCCAAAAAAGCGTTACAATTTCTTGCATTATGATCTAACAATCTTCGCCACATTAAAATATCGCAAAACTTACAAAAAGGCAAAAAAGTTAAAAAACCAATTTACAAAAAAAAATAACGTCGAAAAACAAAAATTGAACACCCTCAAGCATACGAACACTGAGTTACCAAGGAAAACAAATTCATGTCGCATGTCATAGTAACAATTATACCTCTCTAACGTAATCGGCTATTTTATTATATATTGTACTAGTGCTTAAAAACATAATGAAAAATGACTGTAAGCATAAAAAATCGAAATACGACAAAGGCTCTTAGTCTAATTTTAAATACTAACTGAAGGTAAACTGTTCAAATGCGCATCAGTCTATTTTGTTGCTCGATCCGAATAGTATTTCGTCTAAAATAGAAACTCAATGACAATTGTGCGCGAGGCAAGTTTAATTTAATTTCATTTTATTTCCTTTCAATAGTCTCGTAAACAGCATCCCCTCGGGGGTAAGTTTAAAATAGAAACGGTCAAATAGTGCGCATACAAAACTACAATGATTTTCTTACTTTAAAAAAACTAATGTTTATAGCTGAATAAAAACAAAAATTTGAGTAATTCAAATTTAAACGTACGTTTTCAGTGTACGTTAAGATTCTGTACATAAGCGACAATTTTTATGAGATATGAACAATATTTAACGCAAGTTAGTATAAATATTTTAAGTAGATAAAACAGAATTCAAAACAAATATATGAAATATCATTTATAAGTCGTTTGTGATCATCATCATAAGGTCCTCACCCTGAGGACTGGTTGGGCACGTACATCCACTTCTTTCTATTTTGAACCAACCTTTAACTAGAGCAACCTGCACCTGCTCTGCCTCTCTTAACTCCTGTTTCTACCAAAATACCTCGTCTATATCATTTGTGACATATTTATTATTACCACATTACTAGAGTTTGGGACAAACTGTACATTATTTTATTTTATTTTTATATCTTTTAAAACAAATTGTAACTTCTACATGACATTAAAACTGAAAAGTACGTAAATCATTACTAAACTGCAAACAATATCTATTTCTGGACAAATTAAAAATAACTACTTAATAATATTATGTACTCTTGTAAAACTTTTCAAACAGGTAGAAAGGTAGATAGTTTAGAAAATTATTTTTAATTTATCTAATAAATAAACATTCCCAAATCCCTATTAGGGTTTCATTCATTTACAAAGTATAAATTTTGGAAACCTAATTAGTATTTTAAATTCAGCAATCATGCATCATCATGCTAATAAAAATTAGCAGGAATTACGACTTTCCTTACACAAGTATTTTTTATTTAATTACTAACAAAAATTGGTTCAGATTTCCAGTAAAACCTTTCTAATTAAAAATATTCCCGCAGGTAAGAAGTAATTTATCGAAAATAATCATAAATCGTGGCAATCACGTTTATGACTAATTCTGTTCAGTTTTTATTTATAAGTTAGTAGCACATTTCTAATCAATTTGTTTCTAAGCAGATCAATAAAATATATGCAGGGTAATTTTAACAACATAAATATATTGATAAGAAGCAATAATTTTCCTTTTTTTTTAGATTAATTATGATGAAGCATCTGTCAAAATGAAATGTGCAAATGTTGACCTGCTAAGTGCCTCTCCAAGCCGGACATTAGTACATTAAATGTTATTCAAAAAATAACGGCATAAAAAATTGTACATTCAAGAGGATATGGGAAAATAATGAGAAACCGCACGTACCTTTTTAAAATGAGGTATTAATCAATGATAATTATCACAAAACTTGTTGGCGTACGTCAATCACATCGCAACTAATATTACACCACCCAGTTATGCCAACATTATTACATTTTTACCAACTATTCCACCAAATCATTGCCCCAAAAATATCAGAAGGCGGATTTAGAAGCATATCAACGGAGAGAATTTTATGCAACCAAATAATGTGGAATAAATAAAAATTATTTACTTTAAAAGATATTTTGAGTTTTAAAGCTTCAATAAAGAATCAGATTTAAACAAACCGTTTTAATAACCTCTTTTATATAAAACAAAACGTAAGAAACATCCAAATGTAAAATACAAAAATACTATAAATTAAACAGAAATGTGCAACAACAGTTAATAAAAAATTTAATAAACACAAGATAAATGCTCTTATGTGGATAAGAAGCTCAAAACTATAACTAAACTAAAATTTGTGTATTTATATAAAATTTGACTATGCTTATGCAACTTTCTTACTTTATGTGTAATGCTCATTGGGAGTTGCATAACTTCAGGTCCATTTTGCAAATAAAGTAATTCAAATTGTTNTTATATTAATTAATTTTTTCTTAATACTGTAAGAAACTTAAATAATAGGTCACGAAATGTAAAGAATTCATTATTAACAATTAATAAAGAAGTCAATAAACAAATGAACACAATTTAAACGTTCAAAGAAGCTTAAAACTATTAAAAACAGTATTTTAATAACTTTATTCAAAATTTAGTTGTACTTATGCAACCCTTTGAACTCGCTTGTGATGTTTTTGAGAGTTGCATAAACTCACGTCCATTTCGTGAATTAAATAATTCAAATTGTATTGGCGCCATTCAAATAAATACTTCAAATGGCAAGAAAATATTTATTTTATTACAAATTTTGTTTGTGAAGTAACCTACAGTCAATGAAACATTAGTAACTGCATGTGTAGTGTACTCTCAAATTAACATGATCTTAGTAAAAATTAAAATTATCGAGTTTAAACGAAAGATATCGTTTCCAGAAGTTTACACGTTGAAAAGTAAAAAATTGGTTTTGTAATACATATAATACAAATATGAATAAGCTAATAGTATTTATATTAATGTATTTCTTTTTATAACTTTTAATCTCGTAAAAATTGTTAACTTCAGCATCATTTTGATAAATCGGGAAATAGGTCAACTTTGCGTGTTCATCTGCGTCTCTTATTAACACATAACTAACTTAGCAATGTATGGAATCTCACTGTTTTAAATCGCTCGCAACAAGTTTATTTTTAGGAAGAAACCGTGACGCATTATGTGCGCGATCGCCGCAATTTCCTTTTCGTAAGGCAAAGTTTAAGCATGATACTTACCTGCTAATTTCCTTTTACCTTTTCCTTTTTTCCTTCGATAATTTTCGAAAATATGGCTGAAAGTGAAAAAACTTGCGCGGAATGTAACGAACCCGCTGAATTAATGTGTTCTGCCTGTAAATTAGTGTCATATTGCAGTAAAGAACATCAAAAAGAACATTGGAAAACTCATAAATCACTTTGTAAACCTTTTGAGGTAAGACCAAAATTATTTTATTTTCACTAAAATAATGTAATTGTAAATTTAATTTTACCTACCCCTCGTTTGATATTTTACGGAAAAGTTCTTGAAAAAGTACCTTTTATTTACAATTGTAGCAGAATGTTCAAAACTAAGTATATTGTGTCGTTTATTATAGCAATACTATAAAAAGTTCGATCTAAATTATGAACAAATCTAAACCTCATTTTAAAAGGAATTAATATAGAACTTGTGCAAGTTATTCACCTTTTCTTGTAAGACTGTAATCTAAAAATAAGCCAATCTTTGAAATTGTAACATAATAAGCACATTATTTGATTCAAAATATTATAATTTTTAGTTTTATACAAATATTAAATGTTTCTATCGATTAATAAAATAATATATTAAAGTAAATATAAACAATGATAGATCCAAACGACCTCAGACAAAGGGAAATGCTTAGTGGCCACAAGAGACTTGTCTCCAAACGATCAAATTATTTGCGATTATCCGATAGTTTTCGGACCACGTCCCCATGTGGTGGAAGAAGGTCCCGTTCCATGTCCCGGATGCTGCAGGTTTTTCCAAAACGGACCATTTAATAAATTTGTCATTTTATTTAATTTGGCCGTAGATTAATAATTGCTGAATCGGCACCAAGATGTGAAGGTTGCGACTGGCCAGTGTGTAACCCAAATTGTCCAGGATTAAAGGACGTAAACAAACACGCTCACGAATGTTACATTTTAGGTTTAAGGCCGACAAAAGCACAAAAGAATTTGCACAACTTTTATCGGTAAAGGAGTTACAGGTACTTACCAGATTATTTGAAAGAATTATGTGATCAAATTGCTTGCAGGCAAGATGCTTTGCTGACTCTTCGAATTTTACTCTTTCAAAAAAGGAACCAAAAGAAATGGCAACAGATATTGGAAATGGAATCCCACATGGATAAGAGAGGAGAGGGTACCGATACGTACAAGTAGGTCTTAGGGTAAATTACAAAAATAATCGTTAAATCAAATCCTTTTGCTTCATAATCAGACATGTCCAAGAAAGGATAGTAAAATATATACAAGAAAACTTCGTCACACCGTTGAGAGATATCGGAAAACAAACGGGACAAGAACTTTTACTGGACGATTCGGACGAGACAATTCAAAAGATTTGTGGAATAATAGACGTAAATTCGATGGAAATAAATCAAGATGCGGAACTTTCAGCTCTGTATCCCACCGCGTATTTAATGGAGCACAGTTGCATCTGTAACACTTACCACGTCTTCGACGACGAAGACCAGAACTACAAGATAACAGTTAGGGCAGCTTTACCGATCAAGAAGGGGGACCACATAACGACCATGTACACTCATGCCCTTTGGGGAACCCAAGCAAGGAGGGAACATCTCATGGAAACGAAATATTTTGAGTGCTCCTGTCCCAGATGCAGCGATCCAACAGAATTGGGAACGTACCTTAGTGCCTTAAGATGCTTAGGTGAACTTTCATTAACTGTCACTAATCTAACAAAGTTCTTAGCCAGTAATTTATCGAAACAACCAGATATGAGTTGCGATTTCAAATATCTGGTGATATTTGATGAATTCCTGATGATGAGGAATTCAACGTGTTCTATTAACGATTTCGCTTTTTGAAAGATATCCCATTTGCAGGAACAGAAAATGAACCCTGTGGAGGAACACAACTTCCAATTGACCCCCTCGACTATAAAACGGAATGGGCTTGTGATAAATGTAAAGTGAAAGTTAATAATGCCGAGGTGGCAATGTTGGTCAACCAAATTGGAGAAGAAGTCGACCAGATTCAGTTGAGCAAACCGACGGTCAAAGAATTGAACGAAATGCTTAAAAAAGTTTTAACATTCTTACATCCCCATCATTATCACGTTTATTCTTTGAAACACTCTTTGGTGCAGTTGTACGGGTATCAGCAGGGATACATGCCGAACCAAATAAGTGACGAACTTCTCCTCGAAAAGGCCGAAATGTGCCGGGACTTGTTGGAGACAACCAGGAAGATCGATCCAGGAAATTCTAGGTAACTTGTACATAATTATTCCCAATAAAGTTTTATCTATTTACAATTTAACATTTCATTTTCTTTTAGACTTTGCTTGTATACAGCAGTTCTGCTCCACGAGTTGCATTTGGCGAATGTTTATTATATAAAGCGGAAGTGGCATACAGAAGACAAAGAAGTTTTGGCCAGGTTGTTTCGCGAGGCGAAAAGATCGCTCGAGGACGCGAAAAAAGTTCTGGAACACGAAACGACTTGCGCTGCCGGGGAAAAACTTCGGCACTTGGTGGAAAGTTCGGAGAAAGACGCCAACAAATGGATCAATAATCATTCAGAAGAAGTCAACGAATTATTGGAACAAATAAAAGAATCATTGAACGTTTAAAAACACAATTTAATTATGTATGTATTATTAATTGCTTACTACATTTATAACTATGAATAAAGGCGTACGTTTAGAATTATTGGTTTGTACAGAGCGTTTTGAAAATGATGTTCAATTGATAAATAAATGATTTTCATTTCCAACTACATAGGTACATACCTAGCTGGAACGGTCTAGTATTTGAACTGAAGACCCTATGTTGATGATGAAAGAACAATTGGACAACAAAATTGATAAATACAATCCACCAACAACTACGCAGCGACACACGTTATTGTACAATATACTCGAATATTTGGATAAATTCTGCGACAAATTGGTGAAGACTTCCCCAGCCCGTAGGTGAACTAATGATCTCCTGATTAAGGTCTAAAGGCCGTTGTCGGTTGGAGTTGCTTCCAAACGTTTCACTAGCATGAGTGGCGGGCTTCTTCAGAGATCGTTCCATCTCCGATGCTGGATGTGAACTCTAATCTACGACGGCCTTTAGACCCGAATTAGGACAGCATTAGTTTAGTTCTACATTTTGGATTATCGTTATGTGTAAACCAAACACAAAAAAGAGAGAGAGATCTGAGATCTGGTCACATATTTATGTTTGCATCTTCCTTCTAGTGAGACCCACCCAAAGTTGAACGTTATCAATGATACACGTAAGTCCATCTGCTGATGGTGTAACCATTGCTGGGTGGTTTATCTACTATGCCTTGTAGTCCAAAACGCTATGTATTGATCATCGATCGATAAAACAAATTTGTACACTGGTAGATATGTAGATATTATATTTTTTCAATAGTATGTTTTTTTATTGTTGAAAATTTCATGGGCATTTGCCGGCAAGTGAGTTCTGTGGTCTTTGGCCCTAATTCTCGAAACTTTGCTGTACGACGTACTTTTTGAAAAGTTTGTATTTTTTTCGTAAGTGCCCACGATAAAGGGTTTTCCATTTTCGAACTCGTCAAACTCGTCGTTCGAACAGAAACAGCAACATATTTTGCAAAGGAAATCTTCTACGGCGTTGAAACTTTTCTTCCATGCCTTTATGGTTTGGTTTAAAAAAGTATACAGGAGCGGATTTAGAGCGCAACTTAACAAACTGATTGCGTTGAATGCATATCTCATAATCCAATGCTTGTGTTCGTTCAACGTTTTCACGGTTCTTAACGTGTCGAAAATGTGATAGGGAAGTCTGCAACTTACAAAAGCAAATACCAGGACTACGATGATTTTAAAGGTCCGTACTTTTCTTTCTGCCCGCGTTCTTTTCATTTTAATCATCAGTTCTACGTGCGGATTGGAGGATTTGGAAGCAGTTGTTACTTCGTTTAAGCTCGTTTGTGTCGTAGAATTTTCTGCATTCGACGTTTCGTATCTTTTGGGAATGTTTGTAATGAGTTTTCTATGTTTCCACACGATGACCGCGATCTTCATGTAGAGCCAACAAAAAATTATTATCAATGGCAAAAAAATAAGGATCGTTATACACAAATTGTATATCATCAGTTTTTCTTTTTCCATTGCGACGCAAATGTAGGCGACAGAAATGTCTGGGTCTTTTCCGTTCGAATAGTCCATATAAAAAAATCCATGTTGAAAGAGGTCGTAGATGGGATAAGAAATACCTACAACATGGAAACATTTTCCAATGTTGTAGTTATCGAGAAGGTTTTTATCATCGCGTTATTTACTCACCCGCACACAGTATCCATATGATGATTACAGTGAAAATACAGATCCATTTTGGTGGATCACATTTCCGATTTCTGGCAACATTACGATATCGATCTAGCGCAATGACAACGATAGCGATGCAACTACTAAGACTACCGAAAGTTTTTAAAACAGGCACAAAATGGCACATAAGTTTGCCCAAATCCTAAACAAACAGATACAATCTAATGGAATACAACACCTATTACGTAAAGTTATGAATGTTAACTCACCCACGTCACGTACGGATGAACAAAATTGTCGAAACTGTAAACAACTATAACAGTTCCCGTAATTAAGTCACTAATTGCTAACGTTACTGTACAAGTTTTTTGAAGGAAACGGTGGTTACTAAAACAATTAATGATTATGACTCATTAATTTTTACTATTGCTATTGCTGATTGAAAATATGCACCTTTGCCACGTTGCTATTATAGCAGCAATATTTCCTCCAAGTGTAACGCTAAATAAAAACAGGTAAACTACCAAAAATATAAGTCGTTCATCTGATGTTAAATAAATTAATGTTTCGTGAGATATATACGACAAGGAGCTTACATTTCTGGCTTTCCATCGTACGTTTTCGTCTACATCTGCGTAAAATGCAATGCTAGAATAAGACATTAATGGTAACAATCGAACTCCTTCGTTAACTATGTTTCGAAGCTATGTTGAAATTAATTATTAAAAGAAAAATAAAACATTACCTGTACAATAACGTATTAAAAGGTGCACTTTCCATTATTTACTTGTTTCTGTAACTGATGGTTAACATTTCGTCGTGGTGAGTTCAAATATGTTGAATGAAATAAAGTTGTAGAAAACAGCAACAGAAACGTACTTACACGGCTATAAAAATAATATTACATTTATGTGTATTTTTATCGTAATATAGGTATGGATGAACGAGTTTACGCTTTCAAGCATTTTGATCTTATCACTAGTGGTATACAGGGTGGAAGAAGTTATCCAAGTTTATCGGTAGTTTTCTTAGATCATATAGGTACAAGCAAATGTTGAAACAGTAGTTTTCATTAAGCAGATATTTAACGGCTTTCATCTCGTCATTCTTCTCACTGTTTCTAAAGAATGTTGAAATAGACCTTCTGTCCTACCCTCTGGCTTTGCACCAGAGTGCAAGTAGCTGGGACTGATTCGGGTCTAAAGGCTGTCGTCGCTAGTAAGAATGGCGACTTTCTTCAGAGGTCTTTCCATCCCCGATACTGGATGTAGACTGCATCAATTCACCAACTGGTCGCGAAAGCTATTACTAATTTGTTTTCATAATTAAGATCTTCTCATCATCATCATAAGGTCGTGAGTCCTAAGACTGGTTGGACACGTACCCTAACTCCTTCCTATCCTGAGCTAATCTTCGTATTTCCCTAATACTAGAACATCCTACATCCTTGCTACTTGCGAACAGTAATCTAATCTAGGTCTATCTCTACCTCTCCTAACTCCTGCTTCTGCCTCTAACATGTCTCTGATTAGACTTTCATGCCAACCTATCTCGTTTATTTCTTGTTGACTTCCACAGAGTAGACTAATGCCTACTGTATGCTAAATTGTATGCTTCAGGTTACAAAAAAACTTTTCAAGGCGATCACGCTGTATACATACACAGCTATGATAAATTTTAGCTCTATCTCCAGTTTTGCTCTGTTGAAATTAACCTATTGGTAAATGATCATTACAAAAAAATTGATATCAAAACTGATAGTAAAATTTATTGGCGCCTAACAACCATATGCTCTTTTTGCAATCATGCGAGTCATTTGAATAATCAGTCGACTGATATAAACACATATAGGTATGTATTACAAAATGTGTCCTAATGTCGCTTCGTGTAGCACATGATATTATCACTTATTATAAGTATTTTTCATTATCAAAAAAACAATTCGAAGATGATAGCCAAAAGTTAGAAAGGGTGACTTACTTTCTAACATTATTAAACTGAATAAATTTTGGCAAATGAAAAAAAGAGAGACCAACAGAATAGTTTAAAAGTTTTTATAAAATCTAAATTTTTTTTGGTTTTGAAACGTATTCCAGATGGTTCAATAAGAAGATTTATTAAATCTTAATGAATTCGTTTCGATCAATAACGACCTATGCAGAAATAATTAGTGTTTTTTTTATTTTGTATGATGTAAAATTTTAATGCTACTAGTATGTGGTGATTAGTAATCTGTCAATCTAATCGTGTGTTCCATAATACGTTTTCCGATAGTTCTACCAGTCTGACCAATATACGTTCTCTAAATTCTACATTTTCAAAAAGAATTAATGCTGATAAAAAAATGTGTAATTTCTACGTTTGGTGAACATTTTGCCTTACCTGTATAGGTACACGACAGTTGCGATATGATCGTCTCCAAGAACTCAAATTTTTTCCTTCAAAAATTTCACGTTTTAATCACGCACAAGTGAACTGTGTGTACAATCTTCCCGCACCCTTATTTAATAAGCATTTACTATTAAATATATACACCGGGCTATAATTGACAAAAAAAACAAACAGGTTGAAAATATTTAATTTATTAATCACCAACTGGGAGTACACCTACATTAATTATTTTTTATTACCAATAATGAACCATACGATTTAAGTTACGACAAAATACATTTTTTTATCATATGTTATTACAATTATAACTGTTGTTACACTAATTACGAGCTGACATTTAAAAGAAAAACGTAAGGCAGGCATCGTTTTAAACTTAAAACACAAACATATTGACATACAGTAGTTGTACGGCAAACTAATCTAAATAGATCTATCTAAAAAGATGTTAATTAATTTTACAAGTGACCGCAATTAGTTATTTATACTTAATACTGGTCGCTGGCTTGTTTCTCATCCCTGTAATTAATACGTACCTAAATAATGTCGTTTTTCTTTCAATTTCTATGGCAATCACACTTATCACAGAAAAAAAGAATTATTATATTGTTATGTTGACGTGTTTTCTTTACGAGCTTTCGACTTTAATCGAGTTTTGTTGGATCGTTCACAAAACGGCTTGGTTTTAACGTAAAGCAAGTTATAAGACAATTCCTTTCCTGCGCGCTTCCTCGCAGTCACTTGTACCTCGTAGTTTCGTCCAGGTTTCAATTTTTTTATAGTTTGAGTTAAAACGTTTCTGAAAAAATCAAAAAGTTTTGTACCACGTTAAGTTAGTGCCGGACGCACACACTCTGCAGGTTCCGTAAACAAATTTAAGGATAATATTAGGGGCGTACTTAGGGCGGTGCGCTACTGTTCTTCATCTTTTTCTTTGCAAGTAAAGAAGAAAAAACTGTTATAAAGTGATTGCAATGTTACTGAAGATGTTTTACGATAATACAGTCCGACGGAACCTTCAGCGAGCGAGTCTTGCTTTTTATTATCACCGATTAATAATTTTTTAACTTACTCCTGAAAGTTTTTAATGTCTTTGCAATACTTTGTCGTATTTTCTTTGCTTTTCTTGGCGCGTTTGTCACCGTTTGTGATACATTGGTTAGGGACTTCGTACATTTCGAGTTCCTTGAAACGAATCTGTTTGATGTTAACGCAATATAATATGGAATCCGATTCAGTCGACGGTATCCAACCAATTGTGACACTGTTACACTGTCTTAAAGAAGAAAACTCTTCTACCGTCAAATCGGATGGTAAATCCGGCAGAGGAATCGAGGACAATGGTCTAGTAGTTGCTAGAATCTGACCAGCGTCATTCGCACCATGAATTTATCGTGTTGTAGGATAAATTTATCGATAAATAATAATTAACGAACAAGTACGTACCTCTACACCTGATATCCTTCTCAGTTCGTCCCTATTTGTCGACATGATTTTTATATAATATCTTAAACCTTCTTCCGGGTTTTCTATAACGATTTTGTCAAACCTTTCTACGCGTCTTCGGGTGAACACGACCTGACCTTTCGTGGATATTTCGATATCCACCGATCCTCCACATGGAACCACGTAGAATTTTAAGGAGTCGTTAATGATTTTCCTCATCTGCGCTTGAAATATGAACTTTAGATGTACCTACGCATTGTGAACATCATTCTGCTTACCTTAAACCTGAAGGTGACTTTGCCGTCGTACTTTTTCAAGTTAACGAAAGAAAGTTTGCCGTCTTTCAAAGCTGTCGGCTTGAAATTTTTGTTGAACGTCAGATAAGACGATCCCCTATGATATGTTAGATTTGATTGTTGATTAACGGCAAATAGATCGAAATAATACTTCAATCCTTCGACCATATTCTTTGCTGTGTAATGAGTGTGATGACCGACGCAATTGATAGCCAAGTCGTTGGCATGTTTCTCTGAAATGCATTATCCGATTTTGTTATTGATTTATGGATCTATTTTGTTCAGTCAACGATGATAGTAGTAAAGCAAATACCTGGTTCGATCCAGGAAATAAGAGTTTGCGACGCGGGCGTGGGTTTTTGTGTGCTAAAACCGTACTTTTCACCCTGGGCCGAGCACAATGTCCTGTAGTGCTTCTTCGTATTCACGACAACGCAGTAAACTGTGCTTTGAGGGTCAACTAAACTAAAGAAATATTATGTTAGGCTAACGGTGCCATCGAAGACAGCAACAATTTAATCAGGGAAAAAGATATAATTTATTGTCCTCCGTAGAAGGTAAGTGCATGTTTTTACATCCTGTCTGCTTACGACACAGACGATTCTGTGTTCTGTACCTACTTACCCAAGAAGATTTTGTCTTTGTTTCACTTTCTTTGTCATCACTGTTAAATCTAATTTTTTGTTCTACAATTATTAAAATGAACACTCAAACTAACGTCGTTTACTTCGAAATGTTACAACAAAAAGTTTACAACACGATTTCAAGAATGGTTCAGCCAACAGGTGCAAAAATTGATGGATGCTTTAAGGTATGTTTCGTCAAACTTCAAATAAATTATAAATACAAAGCCATAAATTATATTATTACCTACATGTTGTGAATAAGGTGTGCCCCAATAAAATAATTAATTTCATGTCATCAAGTTAGAAACAAATGATACTTTGCTGTTTTGTTTCTTTTAAAATCAGTTGAAACTGTTACCAGAAAATGTGCGGCATAGGAACTGTTAAAAGGGTAATGAAATCATTTGGATTCGGCAGCTGTTGGTGATTACATGGAATTTCTAATACATTTTTTCCATTTTGAACATCACGCTCTTACTATTTCTTCCGCAAGTAACGAACATCTTCACGACAAACATTGCATTTCAATATAAAACTACTTTTCTACTGCAAGGAAAACTACGATTAAAATTCCTTTCCTAAATCGGCTAATTTCAAAGATACTTCTTTTTTATTTTTGTTATGGTTAAAATTTACCGTTATTTCAACTAGTTTTACGGTAATTTTTCATTTGTTTGAAAAGGTACCTATTTACCTATATAGTTTTGTTGAATAGTGAATATATAACAATTGGGTTCCCAAGTTCGCATTTGTCTTGTAGAAATCATTTACAAACCTTGGTTCCCAGCTAATGGTCAGCTGCTTTCTTCTTTGTCTTCTAGTTAGCTTCATTCCAAGATTTTGTGATGTTTTAATTGCTTGAGGACCACCGGGTTCTGTACTGAGATAAACGTGAACGAATGTGTCTTCATTTACAGCAACAATTTCAAAACTATAAACCGTTTGAAAGGACGATTCTAATTCGAATGTGTCAGTGTCCATGGTGGTGATATTAACCAGCGGTTTAGATAATGGGATACTGTCTAGAATCAAACACTGGCAAATTGTTACAGATTTATGCAAAAAATAAATTAGTGTAGTTTTTAGTCGAGTTATTTTTTGATTTTTATTAATGTAATATTTCGCTTACCACCCCTGGATTTTGGTATTACAACCCAGTTGACCGGGGAAGTACACGTTGCAACCGTGAACGTTAAAGGTATTCCATCCATTTGTGACTTATATAAAAGCCTGCAAATATTAGACGATTATAAAGTTACTATTTCCCATAAAACATGGTAAACTATTTAACCAAAAAGGCTCTTTATTTTTGAGTTTCGTTGTGGAGAGCAGCTACTGTATAAACTTGTGCCTTTAAGTTAATTAAAATGATCGATTTTGTGCAATAATTTTTATCAAAAGCGAAGGAGTAGGTACATGGATAAAAAGTTGAAGCAATGTCTTTGCAACTGTTCGTGCAACTAAATTAAGGAAAAATGCTGCACTTTGGACAAAAGAAAATGCTTGTTGTTATAAGTAACAAAATCTCTTTTTTGGTTTACAAACGAATTGGGACTTATGTACTTGTACACATTTAGCACAAATGACCCAGGACATGGCGCATAACTTCTTTCCAGATTTAGCCCGGGGTCAAATGTCGCATCTTGGCTTCTAATGTTAATTCATTTCAGACGACACACTTACACATATAAGCCAAAAATAAATCGTTCATGAATGCAGATATTTATTGTTGTTAGAACTATTTTAGTCCAGTCTCATAATTACACAGCTCAGAATATAAGTTTGTTGTATGTAAGTAGTTTGTACATGGCAAAACTCACAAAAAAACAAGACTAAAGCGTTCATGTTTGCCACTTTTTATTTATTAGATACCTAGTTGGTACTTCGAAAAAAAAGAAATGTAAAACTGACATCTAATGCCTTGTGCTTGTGCTTTCTGCCTGACACTACAAAATGTATTCGATGTGTAGTGTTTGCATAAATTAGATTACGATCGAGAAAAACTACTTTGCATTAAGATATTCTTTAGTTACTGTGTGAACTGGCAAGTATTTTTAAATAATGTGCATAAATCGAGCTCTTCGGAGAGATACCAAGAAGGACCAGAGATATCTAATTGCTTATGGTGACACGTTGACAGATGAATCTGCTTGTTGCCTTTATTTTTTCTGAATATTAGATGCACTTTTTGTTTGATTTTGATCTACTACTGTGCTGCTAGTACGAGGAGACAAGACAAGCAAGTACATGCACACCATTTGACATTCATCCTTTGGATAATTGATACAAAACATCTACGAATAACAAACACCACGTGCGTTCTCTGTCAATCATACACGTTCTACAGTAGAAACGAATGAAAAATAAATCACACTGCCATGGAATACTTATAAATTATTAAAAATGCTAATGCAATTCTTTTTATCTGTGCCTTAGAAACACCTTTAATGTAATTGGAATCGTATGAAGAAAAAGGAATTCATATTTACGATGCTTACTATTACTAGCGCTTAGAAAAATAAAACTGATCGAAATTCTTATGATACATTTATTGCCAAAAGTAGGAAAAATGAAAAGAGCATAATATAATATGTAACACGATCTCTCGACGTTCCGCAACACTCTCGGACATTCTGAAATATTCCACAACATTTTGGATCAGTCTTATGGAGAAAGTGATAGATAGAAAGAGATTTTTCAACTTGGAAAAGACAGAGTCTTACTTTGGTAACACACTCATGTACCTATATAGCTTTCACAAATTCGGAAAGACAACTCTACCAGTTCGATATCAGCTCCTTTTGCTCTGATCTAACTTTTTCTGGGGTATCCTTGGATCATTTAGGCAAATTCTGGGGTACTAATTTTCCACAGAAAATCGTTCACTTCTTTTGTGTCTTTATTTGGCCCATCTTATTTGACTCTCCCCAGTCATCACCCTCATATTCCCTCAATTCCTAAAAGGATGCTGAAGAGTGTCTTCCACACTATAGATTGGAGCGATCTCCAAGCTAGATGTCCTTTATATCCGAATCACACGCAAAAGTGATTTTTCTTGTACTGACTTACTTTTCCATGAAACGTTTACTGATAATTACTGATTACGATTAAGATTCAACATGTTACGACTTCATAAGTCAAGAGTATAAAACTAAAACGTTTATTTTATTTGGCAATTGGGACGACTCGTTAAATAAGTAGAGAAAAAGTTGAAGTGGTTAAATAGGTTGGCAAAAAATACAAGTAGATAGGTACATTAGATAGTTGAACGGGGTTTTTGCTACATAAGAAAAATTTCAGTATAAGTATCAGGTGCACATGTAAAAGCTAAAAATACAGTTTCAGTTAATTAAATCTTTGGATGGAACAGTGTACAATTGTTGTCTGCTCTTTGAAGTAACCGTATTTTTTTAATCTCATTCTTGTTAAGTAGGTATTATTATTATCATCATACTTATTTCCGTACAGATAAATCTCATCCTCACGCTGTGTGTTATTGTGCTACGTAAAACTGAAGCTTGCTCCAAATTAAAAATCGAGCAAAACAGATCTTCGAAGAAATTATCGTGCTGTGCGCAATCGAATTTAATAACTCTCCTATCTTTTATTTAAAAATTTTACTATTACATCTACGGAAATATCAAGAATCACTGAAACTGCTAAAGCAGAAGGTACAGTCACATGAGATACGCAAATGTTCATACACTACTTGTGAATTTATAACCGAACAAATGGATATTAAAACATATGCGATCATCTTTTCAAAATATAACGTGGTATAGGGAAATTTGTACAAATGATGCTTTCAGTTGCTTTTTCATATAAATAAATTAAACCGTAGATAAGAGACATAAGTCCAATGAATGCAATCTAAAGTTTTTGAGGGGTGTTACGCCTCGTCGAGAGTTTGGGTGACAGCTTTCAGAGGACGAAGGGATATTTTCCCGTCCACCAAATTCTCTATTTTCACTCGAGAAAGAAACCATTTAGTAATTTATACCACGATAAAGAAACATTTAAGGTGTGAATCAGAATCTAATGTGTATTAGGTACCTACAGGAATATGATATTATCACTTTAAAATAATTCTAAGTTGAAAAATCTATCTAATGGGATGTTCAAAGGAGAAACATAGCTTACAATTACTTTATCTATTCGTAAGATTAATTAAATTAGCTGTTACAACGATTTTAAGTATTTTTACATCACGAATGACTTCATCTTTTAAACGAACCATTCGATTGTATAATCGACAACAGGATAGTGTTCAATGAAAACCATCGATTAGACTGATGGTGATGATGATACATTGTTGCTTGATTAAAAGCTCATTGAATCATATTTTGTAGAAATTTTTAAATTATCTTTATTATGAACTGATGATGTCCTTATTCGGCTCTAATTATAATCTTTTGGAAAGGTATACAACATACAAGGAAGAAAATATCGTTCTTGTTTAATAATTGTGCATATATATTACTTCCAAACATTATTTTTCATATATTAAAGTTTCGTGTTTTCCTAGTACTTTATTATTTTCAATTTTGAAGAGGTGAATGACTTCTCGGTTTTTATTAATGAATACTATATGTATACTACTATAATAGTAAATTAGAATGAATGACATTGAAATTTATTTAGACGATTTGTGGTGCCATCTGATATTCAACGGTGAAAGGTTGTATTAACGAGATGGGAGTAAGGAAAATGAGTAACCATTATACATAACCTCAGTGGGTTATGTGGTCCCGCTCATTTCTTCCTGGTGTTGTTTTACTGATTTTCACTTTAATAGTGGTGAAAGTAATAGTAAAATAGATATTAGTGCAAGTCGAAATTGTGTTTGTCATGTACATTGAAGTGGTGTTATGGACAAAGGCGCAGAAATAAAATTAAGGTAAGATGCTTGTCTGTTAGATGATTTGGTGGTGGGGTAGGTACTAATTTCTTTTGAAAATCTTACGATTCTAATGTAATCATTTAGTATATTACAACGTTTTATTTCGAGACGTATCTTAGCAAGTAATGTAGACGCTATAAATAAAATTTATAATAAATAATAAAACAAGACTGGTTAACATAACCTTACTGTTTTGGCGGTAATCTTCGTTCTTGGTGCATGTTCATTAACCCATTTTCATTATAAATGTTTAAAAGTGATAGTAATGTGGACACTTGTGCAAAATAAAAATGTTTTCATTACGTTCATGTCTGCAAAGTTGTGGACAAAGTTGCAGGAATGAAACTAAGGTAAATAATGTTTATCTACTGTTGGAGTGGGGTAGTATTTTGCTTCAAAAATCATTCAGTTTCAATACAATAATCTGCTCAATTGTAATACTCTATTACAAATGTCCTAGCAAAGAAAACAGATACATATGATAGCAGAATTATTTGTATTTTGCAATTGTTAAATTTGAGGTTATGGCTTGTAATACATTATACCTAAAGGTTTTGTGCAAGAGTTAATAAATTGACTTTTCATCTTGAGTATAAAAAAAAGCATCATATTATAAAATGGACTTTTCCACTTTCGACCCATTGTTTATTCGAGATAGTACGAATCGTATTGTGCTATTGGTTAAATGTGAATACTGAAAGGTAACCGGTGTTCCTGAGATAGTGTTAGTTAGTTGTTCATATATTAAAAAATGATACTAGAGACGCTATCATAAGAAGTCGACAGCAGGCTCGAAAGTAAACGCATGTACCGAATAAATTATGAAGCTTGACGTGTTCTATCGTCGTCCGAACCGCAAATGAGAACAAGCAAAAGCGAAAAACAAAAAGCACGAAATACATTGTCGTCAGAACGAAATAATCCAACAAGATAACCGATGGAGAAACGGTCAACGAAAGGATTGACCTCCCAAAAGCAGTTCATACAATAATATTACTTTTAAATGGTTTTATAAGGAATTGCAATTTTTTTTTTTACAAAACTAGTCTATTGGTTAAAGGGTACAGACAGGCATTGTCCTTCCCTTTTAACTTAGTACATGAGCAATAAACTAAGGCCCATCCATTAAAAGTTCTGACCATGCGCTGACCTACCGTAAATACTAACTTAACCCGATATTTGAAAGTACAAGCATTCAACTTCACATAACAGAAGTTGAATGCCGCCTTCTTGCTCGTCCCCAACCCTTTCCTCCAGCAGGATACCAAGAGAAACCTCCAAGTAAATACTGAATACCGACAGCCATTCTTTCGACTGGAATGAACGCCGCCTTCTTGCTCGTTCATAACCTGCTTCTCTAGAGACATACCAAGAGAAACCTCCTAAGCAACATTGAATACCGGCGGTATGAAGAAGAGCTACGGTAGCTATTCCTTCTAATGGTGTGAACGCCGCCTTCTTGCTTGTCCACAACCCCTTCGTCCACAGGGGTACCAAGAGAAACCTCCAAGTAAATACTGAATACCGACAGCTATTCCTTCGACTGGAATGAACGCCGCCTTCTTGCTCGTTCACAACCCGCTTCTCTAGAGACATACCAAGAGAAACCTCCTAAGCAACATTGAATACCGGCGGTATGAAGAAGAGCTGCGGTAGCTATTCCTTCGTCCGGAATGAACCCCTGCCTATTGCTCGTTCATAATCTTCACCTCTACAGAGATACCAAGGAAAACCTCCCAGGCGATATTGAATACCTTCGGTACTATGAAGAGGTGCGGTAGCTATTCCTTCTAATGGTGTGAACGCCGCCTTCTTGCTCGTTCACAACCCGCTTCTCTAGAGACATACCAAGAGAAACCTCCTAAGCAACATTGAATACCGGCGGTATGAAGAAGAGCTGCGGCAATCATTCCTTCGCCCAGAATGAACCCCTGCTTATTGCTCGTTCATAATCTTCACCTCTAGAGAGATACCATGAGAAACCTCCCAGGCGATATTGAATACCGGCGGTACGATGAAGAGGTGCGGTAGCTATTCCTTCTAATGGTGTGAACGCCGCCTTCCTGCTTGTTCACACCCCCTTCGTCCACAGGGGTACCAAGAGAAACCTCCAAGTAAATACTGAATACTGGCAGCTATTCCTTCGACTGGAATGAACAGAGAGAATAAAACAGGGATATACAAACAGAGGATAGCGCTCTCATTCGACATGATGGATTCGAAAAACTCTCTATACTTCTTCTATGATGTATCATTCAATGTCCTCATCAGAAATAAACGCCCGTTCACCTTTCAATTGCCAACAAAGAGAAAGTCGTATCAAATCACAGACTCAAACCAGCAAAATTCTGCGACGTTTTCATTTACTGATGCAGAATTTTATATTAGTTATCAATGAAAATTTTACTTCCTGATCCACGGATGGTGATAAATAGCATATGGTCTGGAACATTCTTTACTTTTCCTGTCTAGATATGTAATTTACTAATATCACTTAAGGCACTTTTATTAAAATGTACAACGATGTGACCCATCATTGACCAATCTAAAAAGAAAAGTTGGCCCCGTCCCTGACTCAGAGTCAGCAAGCAAGACTTTGAGTGTATTTTCAAAGTTTGCCAACTGAAGAGCCCCTGAATAAGTTGTAAAGTTATAGTTGTAACAGGCGATAATAAACTTTATGGCGTTCCGGTGTGATTTTGACGCATAAAAAGGCGCCACCGACATCGAAACTTGTCGTTCATTGCCGGTTTTAAGTGGAGCAACTTAACTTACGATTAACGTACTTCGAGTCTCCAGTGTCATGTTGTTAAGCTTAATAATCCTGTAATGTTGGCAATAATTTGCCCATACTTATGTGTATGGGCTTGCGCCTAAGCCCAACAAATTTATATTAATTAAACTGATAACTCCTCAAATCCTTTAACTGTTTAGATATAGATCTTAATCGTTTTATGAAAAAGGATCACTTTTTGATATCCCACAACAAACATTAGTGAGAGGGGGGAAGTACATAAATCCAACTGTACCTACTTAACTAACTTTAAGTATATTATAGTTGACTTAGCAAAAAGTAGCCTTTATTTTGTGTGACATTCTGTATTTTGTTGTTGAAATAAAAAAAAACAGTTAAACATTAAGTGTCTATGTTTCTACATGTAGGTATAAGTGTAAAGAATAAATTTATGTCGTCGCTAAATTATGTTTCTTTACAGCCAACGAACGAACGGTAAGTTTGCAAAGCGCCTTTAAGTGCCTTTAACTGGTGTTATCAATCGAAAATGTGTGACGTCGATGTTAAATGTCATTCTTTACTTTCGCTTGGGTAATTTGCGGGAAATTATTGCAAACAAAAGCGTCGCAATAACAATTTTACCCGCGGACACTGATTATAACATTTCCGACCGTTTCCAAACTGATAAATGCGGAATTTGCGCAAAACAAGCAAACGATTTTCGCTTAATGACCTTCCAAATACACAACTTAAAACATATAATACGAAAGAGTTTATAATATGTAAACGAATAAAAAATGGGATTCCTATTTCTAATTTGGTTATGTAAAGTTTGTAACATATGATTCCTTTTTCATGTAGATACCACGGAAGCCCCGAGAAAAGCTGTTAAAATTATCATTAAGGTAAGTTTTTTGATGTAGTAGATAATTTACTGTGGAAATCAAATAACTTTTGAACTGTAATTTAAGATTGTTTTCTATTTATATAATATAAATAAAAAGCAAAGATTTATTTAAAGAACGTAAGAAGTTCTTAGGCGCACATGGGCATAGGTGTATAGTCGTTTCTACTAATGGTTATCCCATTCTGAAAATCTAACGCATCCACTCCTACACTGATAAGCAGTCATTTTACATTTATGTAAATCACAATTTACAACCATCATACAGGTATGATAGCGCAGTTATTTTAATTATTTTTAATAGCGACCGGCTATTAAAGCAATAAGATGAAAATCGTTTGTGGTTGACTCTTCACATTAAACAACTTCATTTGCAAAACATACGCGGTGCCGTAACATAAATCAACGATAGCTTGAATTCCCGTTTATATTTTCGCTTTTATTATGGTTCGGAGGTTTACATATCACCATCATCTGTCGTAACTTCCTTCCTAATGGCTATTTAATTTTATTAATATCCTTAGATGGGGGCATCGGGTGAGTCCTAACAGCGAACGCGACTGTTGTTAAGAAACAATGAATTATTGCGTAAAACAAACGCGACTCCTTTGAAGAGTCATCTTCAATCCTATTATTCCTGTTTAGTAGCAAAAGCATTTTGCTAAATTTACGACTACTTACAAAATGTATCACCATCACCTTGGCAGATCACACATAACTCCGCATCCACAAATTGTTACTGTAGATTGTAAAAAATATGTCCCAGTTATTTATACATGTGTATAGTATTTATGTGTCTATATAGAAATGTATCAAATGCTTTTTCTCATTCTCTTGACCTTAACATCGACAAAACGGTCAAAGACGTTAATGTTGACCCAGGTCTGGCTTTATTACTAGGAATTAGATCCTTTTTTTTAACGCGTCGTCAATTTAAACCGGCACAAGTTATAAGTTAACTTGGTGGACGCGGACGCGAGAGTTTTGTTTTAAAAATCTGCAACTTATTTGGGTCACACCTAAATTCCGCTAATTCTACATTCGTTTAGTTTAATTTTTGAGCGAATCGTTTACAGGCAATTAAAGTAAGTCTTAGTCAGATTGAAATTGTATTAAAAGTCGGTTAATTCGGGTTGGGATGGGTTTGGTTGGGTTACATTAGACAGTAGTTCTAATTTTGGTTTAAATTTCCATGACTGGTACAGATATTGCTTCTGTACTAATTCTGCATTCAATTGGTTCAAGCTTCAATTGTTTGGGTTAGGTTGGGCAGTAATTTTTGGGCAATCGATTTGCTTGTCATTGATCTGCAATATTGTTTAAGTTGTTTGGGTTTCGAGATGTTTATTGCAAGGCCAACAGAAACAGAAACGTCGGTCAACAAAGTCGATCGCCAGTCGGTATAACCTTGCCGTGGTTGCGTGGTTGTCGTTGCCGTCTTGGCCCCTTAATAAGGATCGCAGTGGCCTAGGTCTAGGTTTAGGTTACTATGACACATGTTGTGTTGTGTATGTTTTCAAATAATAATAATGTCATCATAATTTATCGTCGACTGGCAGACACAGACGGGCGCGGGCGTTCTCCTCCGGACGGTTTATGTCTTCAACTTTACAATATTTTTAGCAGCGAGAGCCTTCGGATAATGTGGCTTCTTTGTTCCCAGGACCGCGGCTAAAACGGGCATTTGGCGGTCCTTTTAATACCGTCATAAATTTTTATTTTTTCCGCACGCTATTTCACCGTCCTGCCGAATAGTTTTCTAGGAAAACCGTCTACATTTTGCACATTTTCATAAAATTAGCAGATAACCACCTTTTTGCACTTACGTTTTCGTTATTCCTTTCTTAAGAAAAACCGATATCTGCTTATCGTTCGGAAGGTCGGTCGATAAAAAGGGTTCGTACTGAGGAAGCAGCGATTTCAGTTGCCTAGTCTTCTTGGATCTTCTTAAACCTTCGCTTTCCGTATGAAATACGCCGAAGATTAATATGGTCACGAGTCCCAAGTTCATCTGAAAATTAAACATCTTAAAAAATTACCTTAATTTCTATATCAAATAAGCTTAAAATTAAAGGTTTCGCTTTTTTGACGCTGTAACAGGAGTCTGAATGTGATTCCTCTTGTCGTTTTAACCGTAATATTTAATAAGTTACAATGTTGTACTACATCCTACGTTACGTGCAATTTATTGTACAAAGTATTACACAAAAAGGATTTAAACGCGTTTGGTTTGTGTTGTGTGTAAATGAATGTATGAGTAACAGTTGCGCTCTCTTGATAACTGTATTATAAAAGATGCAAAATATTGACCATACAAATATGTAAATAAGCGAAACAAGAAAATTTTCGCAACACCCGACAGACAGGTCCTTAACATTGCATTTTATAGTGTAAAAGTTGTTTTTTTTTTCTTTGCCCAGTTAAACTGCGGTTATCGTAATCGTAGGCGTCGACGATTTCAGAATATTCAATTACTAAGAAATGTTGCACTTTTCGCCCATTTATTACATTAATATTCATTTTATATTGCTTTGAGACAATAATATAGAACTAATTGCAAGCTTTAATGCTCGTGTGTCTGGTGAAAGCCGTTTATAACAACTCCATTTATAGCGCCGATTCGCATATAACGACGAAACTTTATGACTATAGCGCTACGACGATATAATATGTCAAATTAGTGTCTATTGTATGTTGCATCTGTAGAATGGTTATAGTGTTCACCACTTCGGCTATAGCGTGCGAATTTCGTCAATCCCTCCTGTGTTGTTATATTAGATTTCGTTTTACAGTCTTTTTTTTTTTCATCGTTCATTTACTACAGCAGCACCTTTGTAGCAGCGTGTACATTGTGAGTCTGTTCGCCGTCGTTACAACCGGATTTTACTTTAATTACTTATAGCATTGATGGTGGAAATTTGATTTCAAATCTATTTACGTAATTGAAAATAATTCTCCATTTCACGGTCGGATTAAGCTGGTACCGGGTGTAACTTTATTTGCTCGAATTACAAGATCGGGTGTGCATAAATCAGGATTAAGCTTTCAGGATCGCGGCAACTTAACGTGATATTGTCCTCGTCTTGGGCTTCAACGTGTGTAGAATGTACGTAGATACGTTCGTTTAATGATGAAGCATAGAAACATGTAGGTACACCGTTACAGAATGTTATTGCTAATCGTCATTTCTCACTTTTGTGGACTTACTGTTCAAGATTAGTTTAAAGGTCGCAAATTAAAAAGTTGTTATAAAAATGATAATAGTTCTACAATGATATCAAGCAAGTTTTAGGAAGTTGCTATCATGTGGTCGAATTTGTACATTGTCCAAAATATAAAATAATCAGGTTTTTTGCCAAACACACCCGGTATAAAATTTGATTCAAATGTTCCTCCAGCCACTTATCTTATTAAATTTCATGACTTGCTGGCTTCTCTATTTCCTTTTCGATTTTTATCGAATAAATAATTGATTTCGAGCTTGTTACTTCAGTTGGGTCGTCTTCTTGTCTTTCTCGTTGCCTTTTTTCTGTTTCAGTTAACTTTTCGCATTGCAAAAAACTTTTGGCATAGTAAAATGATCAAATTTTCTCGAAAATCAGAGCAAAACATAAATCATCTTTATTAATTTCATTAATATTTCTAATAGGTAATTTATTCAAAGAGGAAAAACGTTCCAGTTAATGAAACACGAATTAGTAAAATGTCGGTTTAAATTAGATTATTTATTTATTTAAATTGGCGCCGTCGAGATTTATAAAAATCCAAAAAATAATTTATTCATTAATTATGTTCGTTGCACAGTGACTTTAATTTGTTCGATTTGACCTAGTTGAATGACCCATTTTAATTAGAAGTTGTGTCTAACATGATCTATTGTAAATGTCGCAGCCGTATCATTTTCGAAACGCCTGGGCGGAAATAAAAGTAGCCATTTATTCAGACCTAAAGAAATTCTGTTTAAGCTAAATTATAAATAAGTAAATGAAGCATTACGTAGGTATGAAAAATGTTTAAATGCAGATGGACAAAGCAGCTCTCTGTATATGGTACACATATTTGTATGACCTCATAATACCCACGTTCCCACTTTTTTCTTCGACGATAATCGACAATGGCTTGTCAACTTCGATTAAGAAATACCTTGTCGTTTATTTTGCCGAATCATCGGTAATTCGCTTTCTCTTTTCTAAAGTAATATTGAATTTAAATATGTACATTGTACATACTCATGTACATTGTTTCATTTCGTAAATCGTATCAAACAGTGAGCGAACTGAACTGATAAACGTGGACGGTGGACGTCGCAGAAAAGAAAAAGTTGGAAGCGTTAGATGCGGTCTTATAGGTGGATGATATTAGAAAGAGTAGGAGAACAGAGGCCGCTACAGATGTATGTATTAGCCCTAGTTTTCGATAAATGCGAAGATTGATTCCAGGTCCAAGACCGATGATGATGAGTTAGATACTACAAGTAGGCGTAATATAGTAGAAAATGTTTTACAATTAGTTATAATTTAATTAATTGAGTAAAGTCGCGAATCTGAAGAGATGTTAATACAAATATCTAAATAAAAATGTTGCCGGTGTTTGCAATGATGTCGTCCTAGTTTTCCGATGCGGCAATACCTAAGCAAAGAGCGTGCCAAAGACATGTTTCCGATCATTATCGCCTGTTGGGAGATTTCAAACGGATCAAAACAAATATGGAAGTAACAGCCAACCATGATAACCATTATGTCCATCGTGGACGCATCCTCAGCACCACAATTCCCAGGTGACAATAATAATGTCAACTATTTGCGGATGCTGATTTTCACCGCTAATTTTATTTCTTTCTGTGATTCCTACCTACCTGCAATGGGTGTACATATAATGAGTTTTAATTTTCTTTTATGAATTTGAACTGTAGAAAAGGCAAATACGTACGCATAACGACGAATATTTGCTGTTTCTTTTTATGGCAGGGTGTAAACCAATTAAAATGTATACATTATTTGTTTTAATTTACACACTGTACCCACTTACGCGCAATATTATTTGTACAATGATAATTTGATGATAATAATTGACATCATTATTTGAAAAACAATTTGTCTTCAGACTGAGGAAAAACGAAGGAAGATTAAGTTTGTTTATTTTTAAATGGAATTTTGCACTAATTGCAAGTAGTAAGTAATGCAGTGAATTTATTTATTCGTCGGTTATAAATCAAACGAAAGTATAAATTACTTTCACCATTAATTTGCACACTAAGTGTTGCTTATAATTAATAATAATAATCAATTTTCTAGGATTGGTTGAGTAAAATTTAAGTTTTCTGACATGTGAAATTTTAATTACCTACAAGTTGTTAGTGTAATTGCAAAACCTTTAGACGCTCATGTTTTTACTGTAACAACTGAAATTTACATAATTAGTAGATAGCTTAATTCTTGCTTAATCTTTTAAAACCGTTTGATTATTTAGAGAAGAACAGTTAGGTGGTGAAAATTTAATAAGAATATCTAATCCACAGTAATTAAGTAAAGAAAACTTAAACTTAAAGTTCAAGAGTCACCAATTACACCAACGATGACCGATTCAATGTGTTTGTTGTGGAATCATGTTTATTTTTGAAAAAACTGTTCACTAGAACGTATATTAAGGCTTCTCCCCGTTTGACCCACATACTACATATAAACTATTCAGTAACAATTTAGATTCGTTTATAGGCCCGAAATTTTCATTATTATTCGTTATAAATAGAATTCGCTACCAACATAAATCGTATAGATACCAACTTTTTAAGTAGATGATTGAAAAACAGTTGTACCTCTTGTTGCTTAGCATATCTGAATCGTTTATAATCATTATCATATGCAATTTGCACCTGTTAATGGTGCGGTTCGACATTTCAGGAGGCACTGTGCTTACCAATAAATAATATTATTGTTGACCAGAACATCCAGGCATCTACAAATTAAACTAGTTTTTATGTTAGTAATAACATCGGTGTTATATACTCCTGGTGAGTATGTGCTTGTGCCTTTAAAGGACTTGGGTGCTATTCAACTTAAACATTGACAAATTAATAATATCGTAGGTAAATGTTTAATTTCATACTTATAAATCGTCGTTTATTATTCTCCAATTACCTTAATAATAAATTTTGTAAATAATCAATTTTACTTGAAGCATCCCTACTTTTTGGATTATCCTAATTAATCGTGAATTGTTTTTAGTACTATATCAAATTTAATTTAGTTTTCTACTACTCACTTTCCAAAGCGTAAAGAGAAACCAATTTAATTTCTCTTACAGTTTTAACAAGTTTTAAAAAGTCTTACCTTAGAACATACAATAGAAACTTTTCATTCACTATTCACAAAACAATTCGTTTCATTAATAACAGTGGATTATAAAACGTTCATTTTCCGCGAAATACGCGGTTTCCGAGTTGTGTAGTTCGGTGATTTTCACGCGGATTCGAGCGCCGAAGTAAAGCTCCGAGCTTTATAGCGAAAGCTCGGCAAGTAGCGGCAGCAGAGAGGAACTGCAGGGTCGCACACCTTTCGATAACTTGATGGTAGTAGTAGTTGTTGTAGTAGTAATTGTAGTGGTAGTAGTAGTAGAAATAGTAGTTGCGGGCATGATGATTCGCACACTAATAAGTGAAGCGTCCATATGCCCAAACGGTGTGAGCGTCGTAGCCTCATAGTAAAAGATACTCCTTCTCCCACCACTAGGCACCGTGGCCATGACAACTACGAAGGATATTTTGTTAACTCAATTTATACTATATATTACTTAAGTAATTTGAAAATTATTTCGAAATTGCTCTTCAAAATAATGAATTGAAATTTGATCATTATCTATCACTAACTGATTTTTAATTATGATAAATGATTAAAATTTCTTTATATAGGTATACATTCTAAATCAGAGTTACTTTCAACCCTTTTTAATGTCCTGTTTTGTAGTGGAATCCCTAATTTGCTTCCATACTATAGGTGCTTAGTATTAATGCAAGGTTCTTTGAATGGATTTTCTAAAAGCATAATATCGCTTGAGATCGCTGGACCGATTCGGCAATGTTTCTTCTTAAATTAATAAAATATCTGCATAATCCGACGAATTAAGCATCCACTTTTTCAAACAGCAACTTGGTTTGATTACATATTATTAGTTGAAATTATGGTGTTTTCAAATAGATTGGAAACGCTGGCAAGAATGTTTTAAATATATTTTATTTTAAGAAAAGTTCAATGCACCAAAAACCAACATAAATCTCTTTCGTTACCATTAACGCCAAGTAAACAGATCGGAGTCTGCTTCCCATATTTCGTAAGACTTTCTTGTAATAAGTAAGTAGGTAGCCGATCAAACGGAATATTATCGACGTGGCGGCATTTGGAAATTTTAAGCTTTTGAGTAAACAAGCGATACATAAAGAATGCTTTATACTAGTATCCTTTTCGCTGATACGAGGATTAAAATTGTACATGACGATGTGCGACTGTTAGATACAAACAATTTATTGAATGATACACCTATGCCTGTTATGTAGATAAATGCCGTGAAGACGGTCGATTAAAAGGCTAGGGTTTTGTAAAATTTTTGAAGATATTGGCGAATGAAAAATGCAAATCAAATCGTAGAAATCTGTCTCCTCTCGCATTAGAATATTCTGGAACTAGCTGATCATTAAATCGCCCAAACAAAAGGGCTGGCTACACTTGGCTTTAGGAATAAATGAAGGTTCGTATCCAAATAATCTTTGGGTTAAAGATAGGCAGTCCCTCCGGACTACGTCGGCGGATGACGGAAGATCTTCTCCAGCTTCCTTTTGGGGATCGTGATGGGAATAGGTAGGTAGTAGTTGGGATGAGAAGCATAAGGGAATAAAATATTATCTGTGGATATTACTGCCCCAGCACTTTCCTAAATGACCCAGGGAAACCACAGGAAAGCTGGGACCAGAGCAGGCGAACCAGGAATAAAATCGAATACTAAGTAGTGACCTAAACCTCCAGGTCATGCCGCTCGGTAATTGCAAAGGAGGGAGCGGATTTCTAAAGCGTATATTATACATTATTAAAAATGTTGCCAAATGTAAAATGTAGATAAGCGTTATGCACAATCGAAAAGGGTGCCCACCGTCCTTTGGACGTACGTAGCTAGTATATTTATAATATTTTAATTGTATGTGGCTGGTATAAGTGCTTAAGCCTACTACGTTTATCTCAACTGTCATCTCAGTATGAAATTATAAGTCTGTACTTGAATTAAAAATTTTGCAGGTACACAGTAAAGAAATTAACTTAATGTTATTATACTATAAACGTGTTGCGATTTATAGTCAGTTTAAAACGACTGAAATCGTCATTAGCAGCGAACTCTAAGAAAGTTTAGGTCGTGGCTCGTAGGTTGTGAATAAATTGTCGCTATTCAGTAATATCTAAGGAGATTTAGCTTCATTTTCAACAACAGTACACAGCTTTTACAGTACCGGCTTTCATCATCCGGCACAAAACTATAACTAATACGGGAACATCATTGAAAGATTTCGTGTGGACCAATCGCTGAACAACATACGGCACGTATGTGTATTCTTTCTTCTGCACTGCTTCATATTACAGCAACTCGGGACGTATATTATGCAGTGTACAAAGTTAGTTATGGCATACGTGTAGGTACTACCTGACTTAATTTGGGTAGGTACCTACACCTACAAAGATGTAACGATATGTATATTGATTCGTACACACTACGTCGTCGATGACGTCAATTGAATTCCTTATATAATACGTACTATAGATATCTCTTCTTTTATCTCAAAAAAGAGAAATAGTTCATGTGACAGAAGCAAGAAAATCCATTAGTTTATCCTAAAAATGAATCAAGTCCGGCCCTGAACAACGGTAGCTAATTGATTAGAATTGACTAATAAGGAGTTTGTTAATGATGCCGACGAATATCTAATAATATTGTAGGCGTTCGTGCCGTTTTTTTTATGCTCAAATAAATATGGACTTGTGACAAACTTTCTCATGCTGATTAATCGGTTTAAACGTTGAGATGAAGAGCAATTTGAAAGGGACTGGTATTTTTACTGTTATAAACAAGATGACGATCTTTTATTGCACGCCACTGGCGTGTTTTATACCATGTCAGCCTGAGCGGAGCGCCTCGAAACGATAAAGTTCGTGTCACATCTGCATTTAACGGCAACGTAGCGACAACGGTCCATTGACTATGGTCAAAAACGGATCATTTTACATAACAAATGCAGATATCAGAGATCGTTGTGTAGCAATTCTTTATTTCGTGTAATCCGAGACCGGAGAATTGAAAAAGGTCGTCAACGGACCACGGATTCCTATGTGTACCTTACTTGTACACATGTACAAAAATATCTGCATAGGTAGATCCTAATACAATATAGATACTATATATATTCACCTTTGTAACTACAATTTTGCCCATACTCATCCCTGCAATAATATCATCAAATCAAGTAAAACATTTTCAACTTTCTTGTGGTCAAATTTGAGATGTAGAGAGGTCCCTTGTGATGGTTTCTATCTACCAGATTCTAACATGAGTAACATAATAAGGCAAAAGTTTAGTATTCAAAAGCTTAAAGAATTATTTCGGCCAAAGGTCATTGTCGAGAAAGTTTATATTTTGTTTTATTCTATTAGTTACAAAAGTGTCTCATATAAATTCAGCATTGAAAGTTCTAATGTGATGATGTTCTCCCGCCACTACCATACGTATAAAAGGAGATGTTTTTTGGTAACAAATCTATTTGATTTGCTTTTCCATTCTATAATGCCATTTATTTGAGTTGAGTGATTGTATGGTATGTTAATGGCAGTACAATAAAGAGAGATGTATATTTTTGAGTTGGGGGTTGGATGGAACTGTAACGGCGTTGTCGTTGTCGCAGGCAGATCCGCTTCATGGTGTGGCGTGCAGTACGTTTATTATGTAATTTATGTTGTACTTTGACACTTACCGCTGGAACCGGACCAGGTGTTCCCCTGTGGCCCATTTGCATTTTTCCCATTGCACCTGAAATCGGATTTCGCGTGACCACTGAGAAGAAGAAGAAGGACATACTGGGTGGCCCCCAGTAACGAATGGGTCCGAACAAAAGCTGATTTTGTCTACATGCATGCCTACATATGTACTTACCTGCCATACATACCTACTCAAAAAAAGGCTTCATTTTCTCCTCTTGTCTTGACCCTCATTTTCTCACGTTTATTTAGAAAACAAAAAATCAACGGTTTTAATACAGAACTGTGCGTTATCTTCAGATAAAGAAATTTTAGGATTTATTACATATCCGGTGCAGTACAGAAAAATGACAAGTTTCCTAATGTAAAACGTTTTATGGTAACACGAGTATTACAGGTAATAACAGAGAATTTTATGTTAAGAAGGAGGGTGTCGTTTTTGGTTGCGTGTGTTATGAAAACCTACAACAAGAAAATAAGAAAAGAAGCCAAGAAGAAGTCAGGCAGTTTCACACCTTCGTCCGCTTCGCCTGGCACGGCCTGTTCTGCAGGCTTGTTGCGATTTAACGACGAGGTTTCCAATGTACCGCGCGAGAACGGGCTCAAATTTCGTTCCGACTGCCCTGGGCCTGTGCCCTCCTGCCACGACGCGTACGCCACCTACCCGACACCTGACACGCTACAAGCGCGAAACGGTCGATCACAATGTCACATGCTATTTGTTCTCTCTCCATCCCTATTCATTTGTACTCTCTCACAACAGCAAAGAGCGCGAAAATGCATTAACAACAAAAAGATTGAATTTCAATCGTACGTTTCCAATAAAATATTTATAAAACATAAACATATAAAGAATTAAAAAGTTAAGGTTAACAAGCATTCGATCGTGGTTTTGAACTTGTTGGCCCCCATCAGCACGCCACAAATAAGATCGCGTCTGGGTTTAATAAGTAATGACAGACATCGCAATAAATGCCATCTGTAGATATTTTCCAAGTAATGATTAGAAAGTCAGACAAGGATGCACATTGTGACCGCTGCATTTTAATCTCACAATGAACATCATTAAAGACAAGACAACTCTAGGGAGAGATAGTATGATTAGACTTGTAGATGATATAGCAGTATTAGCAGCTGGCAAGGAGTAGGCAGAGATAGCCTTAAATGAAATGGAAGCGGTATTGACGAAACAGTATGGTACGAAAATTAAAAGTGAAACATAAATATCGGTGTACAAGGGAGGAAAAAGTAGGGACAGAGTGAATACAAAGATAGCAGACGAAATATTAGAAGTCGTTGATCTTCGGTATCAAGGAAGCCAGCTAATTCAGGATGGAAGGACCATTAGAGATATGTAAAAAAGGATAGCTCAGGCTCAAGTCGCCTTTAACGAAAAGAAGTCACTTTTATGCTAGCAAACATTTAATTTACAAATTCGAAAAAGATCATTAAAGGTACGACTCTGCATGGATGAGAAACATGGACGGACGATGGGTGCAGCGGAAAAGAAAGGGTTAGAAACAATAGAAATGTGGTGTTGCAGGAGTATGATGAGGATCCGTGGATAGAGGTTGGAAATGAGGAAGTGTTAGAATGAGTAGGAGAACAGAGGACGCTATGGAAGTCAGTAAGAACTAGGCGTCATAGGTAGATTAGTAGGATACCTAGATAGAGACATAGTACAAATAGAAACAGGAATTGAACGGAGTAGAGGTAGATCTCCATTACATTCCTGATTACAAATAGTTACGGATGTGAATTTCAGGGAAATGTGAAGATTACCTCTGGATAGGAAAGAATGGAGGTGCGTGTTCAACCAGTCTTAGGACTAACAACCCTATGATGATGATAATAGAGATTTTCTATTGTATTTGGTTCATCAATGTTTGACAAGTCGATAGCCTTAATTAACAATGACCTTGTCAAATATTAATGAAGCCACACTTGGCGCTTACTGCGCTGTCTTCGGTTGTTTAACAAAAAAAAATACAAACGGAAAATGTTGGTAGACTTAAAAGTAGTAGTTTCATTATTGCCCATTCATTATATAGCATGTTGTTGTTTTTGATTATTAAAGGACCGGTCCGCTATTTTGCACTTATAGTAGGTCCTCGCCGTTGGCAACGTTTCCCATTACGCTCAATTTTGTACGGGAAAAAAGAAGAAATTTTCGGCAGTCAAACGTCAATTTCTGTTTATGACTTTGGTGTACCTACACGTTATAGTAAAAATGCACCAGCGGTTTCAAACGAACCATTCGAAATTTGGATTTCCTTCCTTCAGGTTCTCATCAACAAAAAAGTTGAAGTTTCACTCAGAACTTGATGATTTTATTCAAATTAAATATCCGTGTAGTTTTAGTCATGTGAACAATATATATCACGATGAACAACCTCGCACGCCCTTGGTTTTCGGGAGGGGAACGCACCAAAGTCAAGGGTGTCCTCAAGTTCCTTGATGAAAATCATAAGTTATTGTATACAATATTTAATATTCACCAATTACATCAAAGTTTAAATAGGAAGAATCAAGTATTTTTTAAGGAGGGCCATACTCATGAAAGAACTTCAACTTTTTTGTTTACGAAAATGTGTTTGTAAAGCGTGGGTATGCGTGAACCGTGTGATCGGTCGTCCCGCACTCTTTTTTAATGAACGTGGAATACCGAGACTTTTAATTTGATATATGGTACATCCACCTGTGACGTACGCAAATACTAGATACTGCCGACTTATTAGTGCATTTCTTGGCAGACATGCGGCCGTTAATTATTTAAATTTATTAAATATCGGCATTACCTGTCATTTACATAAATTTCGTCATGCGTTTAACATCTATTTAGAAGCCATTCAGTTCTTAATAATTCGTCGCTACTTAGGTACCTTAAAATTCGCTAATATTTTTATATTTATTAGTCAACCATCAGAATGTTACATTATGATTGATATTTTCGTACGTGAAATTATCCTAGTGAGAGAGATAACAAACGTTATAAATAAATGCTGTTGCAAAGAATTTTTTCTCAAGTCGTGGTGTAGTTATTCACAATTTATTTTTCTTTATTATAAGCGTACTTATGTAGAAAACTGATTAAATTTTTTCTCTTTTATAATTAAGCACATTAATTAAATTTAAATTTTCTCATCGGATATTAGCAAATTATTTAAATTTTATTGGAAAGGTTTG